GTATACTGATAAGATTAGATCCTCTGATGTTGTCCAGGGGGATCTCTTCTGGGAACCCTCGACTCTGCAAGGAAGGAGACTCCTGCAGGTGCTGGGCACTGGAGGGAGTTAGCATCATTGCTGCCATCCAATTGCCCACACAGATTGTGTTAAGAGAGAGAATCCTGGTGAAGGATGCACAGCTCTCAATAAAAACCCCCAAAGGCTGGCTACTGGTCAGGAAAAAGGACTTTTTACTGTAGACTGCATGATATCTCCCCCAGTTTCCTCTGTGGACTATTACAGATCGGTCCAGATCAGGGGACGTATCTCCTGCCCTGTGTAGACCCCTCGGTGGACTGGCTTTTCTGTACTGGCTCACAAAGGATACTTCCTCCTGCACCCATCATGTTAACTGGCTGTTGAAGTAAGTGCCTGTGTCAAAGCAAACTGCTGTGCTCAACCCCAGTATCTCCATGTCTTGTACATGCTGAAAAAAATTTCTTTTTAAAAGTATTTTTGTTAAGAATGCAATAAATATATAACACTTTTAACACAGCTGCTGTTGAGTCATTTGTTTCTCTCATACAATTTTTGCCTGAGCTGGTAACAAGCCTGTCACGGATGTGGGTCTCCTGGAGACACCCAGCATCAGAGTGCTGAGGCAGGGTCTGTGGGTATGGCATCCCGGGGCACCAGCTTGGGCTGGTGGCAGCTCTCCTGCGTGGGATCTCCTGCCCTGGCTCTGTGCTCGATGTTGATTTTGGAAAGGTCAGTGGCCTGTTCCCTGCGGTGCTCTACTCTGCCTGTCAGGGTGACATCAGAGCACCCCCGGGGCCAGATGGAAGGTAAGCAATGGAGTGGGTAGGAGGGAGGCATGAGGCAAGGCCAGGGGGATAGCAGAGGGGAGAAAGATAAAAGCCTGAGCCTTCCTCCAGCTGAAAATGTCCCCTTCCTCTTTGCTGTCTCTTCTGGAGGGTCTGTCCTCCTCCTGGGAGGAATGGTCCCAGCTGCCAAAAAATACCTTGACATTTTTCTGGGCATACTCACTCCCAAAATGTGGCAATTTGGTGTCCTGAGTGGGCTGTGGCTTAGAAAAAAGGGCGAAATGATGTTTATTTGCTGCTAGCTAGAAAGTCTATGAGAAAGGTTGTTCTGCAAAGCAAGGAGCTGTGCCTCCAACAGCGATGGGGTTGATTGAAGCCCCAATAGCTACATCTGGGTTATAACTGGTCTCCATTGGTACAATGGCTGGTCCTGAGTAGCCTGGGCAGGATCTGAGCCTGACCTGTCCCAGGGACTGGGCAGGACATGAAATTACCTATTTGTGGCTGGTAGCAATGCACCTTTGTAGGACCAGATGCAGCTGAGGGTGGCTGGATCTGTCCTGGGAGCAGTATGACCCCAGTCCTCCTCTGAGGATCATGGTCCCTTAGGAAAGCTGCTATGCAAGCAGGGCTGTGCCCATCTGTGTGCATTGCTTGCATGGGTCAGCTTAACCATGCCTGTCCTGGGCATCCAAACCAAGGTGGCCTCCTTGCCTCAATCCAGACTGAGTATTTGGCACTGGGAGGGGAACTGGGTACTTACTTTCCAGCCTTCACGGGAAGGGTTGGGTTGGTCAGGATGTGAGCACTTTGGCTTCGGGACATGTGTCAGAGAAGGCAGATCCTGCAGTCTCTCCTCAGCAGGCAATTTGTGTCCCCTGTTCACCAAGCAGGCTGCCCTTTTGTGGAATGACTTTCTCCATCCTTGGAAAGCACCTGTGATGTGCAGCAGCACTAGGTGTCTTAGACCAATATGAGGTTTATGCAGTCCTTTGTAACCTGTGTCTTGAGCTTCTGGGGACACTGGAGCCTGAGGCTGGGCAGCACTGGGTTGTTTGTGTGGATGATCTCATCCCATTTACCTTACCTGAGGGAAGTATCACAGGTGGAAAGCTTCCTCTCCAGGAGGGTAAACCACTTACTAGGTGGGAGCAGCTGTGGGGAAACATGTTTGTGACTGGATTATTCCACAACTCTCTGTTAAGGGCTCTTGGTGAAATTGGCAGGGCTGGTGGCTGCAGGAGGCTGGATGGGAGTGAGCAGCCAGGCAGCATGCTGCAGGGTTGCAGCAGTTCTGCAGCTCGTACCCTCCACACTGCGCTCTCCTCCCAGCTCCCCACTGCTCCAGGAAGTGGCCAGAGCTACTGGACACAGGCAGCAGAGCTGAAGGACGCTCTCAGGCAGAAACTTGGAGGCTGTAGAGGCAGAAGGAGAGCAATAAATAGGAAAAGCATGCTCATGCTTAACAAAATACTTAATAATAAAAGCGAGCCCTGGTGGGAATAGATAACCAGACTCTCCCCTTCCTGTTCAAAGTTGTATTTTAGGGAATTTTCTAAATCCCACTGTCAAATGCAGTTTTCTGTGACTGCACTGGACCATCCTGGCACTGCTCAGTGAATTCCTCAGTGCCACTGGCTGTGGGGGTGTGAGTCCTGTATGTTGTGTTAAGGATCTCTGAGTGACTTCTGGTTGGTAAATCTTTGCAGGTAGCCAGGCTCCTTTGCAGGGGCACCCTGATCTTGTCACTGTACTGTTGTGGACAGTGGGATGCTAGGAAGCATCCTGACATTTTGCTTGGACTGGGGAGAGCATCCTCTAGGATCTCCTGTACTGCAGGGCACCAGACTGACCACAGCACATTGGTATATTTCAAGGGCTGTGTATCTCATGGCTGTCTGAATGCCTGATCCACCTTTTGATGAGTGATCACTGACACCCAGAAGCAACAGCCTGCCAGCTGTGTGCCATTGCAGGGCTTCCTTCCCAATGTGCTGGTCCAGGTCTTTCTTCCTTTTCAGATACACAAACTGGTAGTTTAAAAGTTCTTTTGTTTTGTGACCAAAAGTAAAAGAAGGGTTAATAAAAGCCAATTTTGGCAGTGCCAGAGTCTACTGTTTAAAAAATTGCTGAAAATGGCAGAGAATCCTGGGTAGCACATATTAGGAAAAATACAACTGCTTGCAGGCACATGGTCAGTTGCTTAACATTAAAACCAGAATTGCTGGACTCTTGGGCAGTCTGAGACACTACAGACTTGTTTTATGTGTTTTATGGGAAGTTTCACCAAGTTTGTGACCTTATGTATGTGGGTTAGTGTGATCACGTGCAGGTGGGCTTGTGTCTTAATTAGTGCATTCACATGGCTGGAGAAGGGAAGAATATGCAAGGAAACTTTGGCAGATTTCTTAAGCCAAAGAAATACCTATCTATATAAGGGAACTTGAGCAAGGACTAGTAGCAGCAGCAGTTAGAGGAGCCATATGCCACTTGCCTTCATTAATGTTGCTGCATCAGGGAGCGCTGAATAACAGAGGCGAATGGCGTAAGAAAAGAATAAGCTTTATCTATGAACCGTTCAGGTGTGCTTTGGGGTCTGTACATGCCTGTTGTTTCAGGGAGTCCTTGTATCTTCTCTTCAGGGCTCCTCTCTTGCAGCAGCCAGTGGCAAGTTCACCATAAAGCAAGATCTTAGGGAGG